TAAATCATTCCGGTTCATCAGGGAAAATGGAAGTCGATTCCATGAAAGAAATGTTTTCCAGATCAGAAGAAAAGTATGGCGTTCAGTACGTGAATTATATAGGCGATGGCGACTCAAAAACCTTCAAAGCCATCTTAGACTTGAATCCGTACGGCAATGACTGTCCTGTGAAAAAAAGTGAATGCGTTGGGCATGTCGAGAAACGAATGGGCACAAGACTTCGAAATGTAAAAAAAGATAAGAAGCTCGGAGGACGTGGAATGTTGACCGATGTACTGATAAAAAAAATAACTCGATACTACGGATTAGCCATACGTCGAAATACTGATTCGGTCCAGGGCATGAAAAAAGCCATTCAAGCAACACTCGATCATCTAACATCCACCGACGAGACACCGAAACACGGAAATTGTCCGGCTGGAGCTGATAGCTGGTGTAAGTGGCGCAAGGCTGAGACAGCAGGTTGTGCAGCGTCATTTAAACATCCCCCTCCTCTTCACCCAAATGTTGAGAAACATTTGCAACCGATCTTCGACGATCTTTCGAATGACAGTCTTTTGGAAAGGTGTTTAGGCGGTTACACACAGAATGCAAATGAAAGTTTCAATTCTACCGTTTGGCGTTTATCGCCTAAACACATTCACAGTGGAGCAAAAATCGTCTGCATTGCTCCACTGCTCTCTTCATTAATTAATTGGTTCTTCTGAAAAGAACCGTTTTACTGGAACGTTTTACTATCAACTGGAACGTATATTCCATTCAAAACCTCCCTTTCGTCGCTTCGTTTAATCGACGATGTCTAGTCTATCGAGAAATACAAAGCGTTAATAGCATTTTACACCGGATAAAAGAGATTCTTCTACTTGGTTGACGAGATCAATATCTTTTTAAGCAGCTATGCAGCGTTGCCTATTATATCAAAATAAAAATGTATTTTATCAAATAGAAAAATTTTTCAACAGTTTAAAATATGGCTATTTCAATGCAAAAACATTTATTTATCTACACAAAAAAAGGATTTGCTGCAGCAACAAACTAATTTACTATATATAGATAGTTATACATAATTTGTTGTGTTAACTAGTTTTTTTGCTGCAGAAATCCATTT